CACAGATTTGCACAGGTGTTTGATAAGAACCTAGGGCAGTCAGCAGGGTACAGAGCACCAAAGGGGAGGTGAGTGACATCTTCTAATCATTCTGCGCTGGGCTGCAGGCTCCACTTGAGCGCCATGGGGGGACCCCAGGAATGATGCTCCCTCCTCAGGTCAGAGGTTCGTGGTGGGCTTAGGGAGGCATGAGTGGGATACAGCCAAATTTCAGCCCCATCTGATAGCACAACTTCTCGGTGTGCATGCAGCCCCACGCTCCAGACTGCACCTCTAGGTGTGCAGTCTTCAGCTCAACCACTGCCTGGTTTCAGACTCCAGGCAATGCCTGTCTTCTGCTTTGTTACTCTCCAACTAGTGTGTGAGCTCACCCCTCTGTTGGTAATGGCATCTCACCATCCCTCTTCCTCCACCCTCAGATGACTTCTGCCCCATCTAGCCACTCCCTGCTGCCAAAACCTGGCAGGCGAAGGCTGCTGTCAGGGCTTGGTCTCACAGAAATCTAGAACAGATCTTAACAGAACATCTCAGTATGATCCAAGCCTGTTTTTATAGATGCATTTTTTTATGAGCACACAACTAGTTTCATTATTTATCTAGTGCCTCTGACTGCTTTCAAGCTGCGATGGCAAGTTGGTACTGACAACCAAGATGGCCCAGGGGGTCCACAGGATCTACTACTTGGGCACTTTGTAGAAAACTCTTGCTGTTCTCTGATCTAAAGCAAGCTTTCTGAGGCCCAGGGAAGTCCTGTGTCTCCACTGAGGTAACTAGATATGAGTGGCCAGGTCACCATTTGATCCCGTTTCTGGTCTACCCCACACTTCCTAGAGAGAGGAAGTGGACTGGGATGTGTCTTCAGACTCAGTCAGGAAGTCACACTGGGGAGAGGTGATTGTCCCCAGGGAGCATGAAGGTGACTTGGAACTGACTCCCCAGTCTGGGTTTAGGGGCCCAGGACTCCGTCCCTGCAGGCAGTACCCAGGAACCTGTGTAAATTAAACTGTGCTTCTCTGGCCTCAGGCTCCCCCAGGGACCCCTCGGCCTGCCTGCTGTCATGGGGGCATCTGCCAGCTCCTCTGCCCCTGCCTGATTCCAGCCCATAGGAGGTTGCTGAGCCACTTTGACAACTCCTAGCCCTGCTCTATAGGCTGGGCAGGAGCATAACTGGGAAGCCCAGGGGGTTGTCTTATATCACTCCAAGAGAGGGGATGCTCTAGCCTGCACCATCACAGACCACCATGTGCCACTACAGGCCACCAACCCCCTGCACAGTCCAGCACAGACTACCCCAGGCCACCACAGGCCACTCTAAGGCACCACAGGCCAATGCTGGGCAGTTGACTGGACAGAGGCTAAAGCAGAGAACTATTTGTGTTTGCATCTGAGCACTACCCACTGCCCTCTGCACCAGGCTGACCGGAAAGGACCTTCTCCCCGCTTCTGTCTGCTCCTCTTTAGCTGGGGGTACGACTTCCCTGCCTGAACCCCGCAGGGAGGTCATGAGTTAATGCAAGGCCACAATACTGGCATTTGTTCTCAGCGATGCCAGTAAGATCCTTCTAAAATGTCTGTGCCCTTTTCTGCTCTGGGAAGCACAGCCCCACCCCTTCGCAGGGAACTGCAGGTGGGGTGGCTGTTCAGGCTGCTCAGGGGGAGATTTCAGAAACGCTTTCGAACAGCTCGTGCAGTTTCAAAGCCCTTTCAGTTTACGTCCTTGCTCTGTCGTAGGTGCAGTGACGCAGAAGTGCGGCTGGGTGCTTTAAAAACACATCATTGCTGACAGATCCAAAGCAGTGCCCTGAGCAGATGGGTTGCAGAGCAAAGCGGGGTGGCGGCCCCACGTTCCCTCCCTGTCTCCTCCTTTCATTCCCCGCCCAGGGCGCTTGGTTATCATCTCAGGAAGGCTGAGCCTGGAGTCAGAACCATCTTCCTCTGAGGATGTCGCCTACCTTATTTACCAGTCTGGTCTCCAAATAACTGGCTTTTTTCTAAAACCTAATCCATTTTTAAGAGATAGCTATCTCTCCACTGCGTCTTTAAAAGAATGGTGAGTGGCTATAAATACACTTGCATTAGCAGCATGTGTGACCAATTTCATCCTGGGCATCCCAGTCGGCTGAGGAAGGAGGCCTGATTTAAACTCACCCCCAGAGCAGAAAGGGTGCAGCGAAATTTCTCCCATCTGCTAGCCACACTGAGTTTGTCCTCACATAGGTGAAAGTGAGTGTGTATGAGGTGGAATCAGGAACAGCCCTACGAGGCCCGTCCTTTGGGCATGCAGTTAGGCCACCAAGGGTGGCCACCAAAACCCAGCAACCAGAAGTGGACCAGCAGTAGGGGCGAGGCAGGCTAGCTAGGGAGAATCACAGAGCACTGCCGTGGCTGGGAAAGCAGAGGGCTGGTCTGGAAGAGGCAGTGGCTGTCCGTGAGGCCAGTACCGGAGCAGAGCAGAGAGGCTGTGCCAGCTATAACCCAAGCCTGCGCTGAACTCCTGGACTGTGCTCTCAGCTGGGGGCAGCAGCTCAGGGGGCCTGTTTGCTGAGAAGAGGACAAAGGGGCACACGCCAGCCGGGGGTTTGACGCGTGGGCTCCTGCCTCAGCTAAACAGCCCATGCTGGAAGCTGCCCCAGTGAGGGGAAAGTCCTGTGGGTTTTCCCATGGGTCCTGGTAGGTAACCTAGGAAACCAGACAGGCCGTCTTATAGACAGATGAGGCACCCAAATCAGGCATTCCCAGCAGGCCCGGCCATAGGGAGAGAACTTTCTGTCGACTTCCCTGACCGGGGCAAAGGCACAGGCCACCTACACTGTATGTAGCTGCCTCTCCCCACAGAATTATAAACAGAGGCACCATCTGCCGATACATTTCTCATCTCTTGCCCAGTCCCAGAGTTTAGGCTCTGATTTCCCGATGTTGCTAAGACACCGCCAGTACATAGTCAGTGCACGACCTTGGAAGAGCACAGTGACAGAGTCAGAACCAGGAACCGTGTCCCACAGAGGAGCACAAGCCGAGCGAGATTTCCCCGTGATCCAGGAGACAGTTCATGGCTCAGCCAGGCTGTCTGCATCTGTTCCTCCTGTCCTCCTTCTTTTATTCAGTCCAAGCCCTTAAGTCCCACACGTGACACATGCCCACCCCACTCAGGAATGGAGGAATGGTCACCTGGTCTGTGTAGTCACTTGGACAACTGCTGCCATTGCAGAAGAGGCAGCTGACCCTCTAGATCCAGCCTTGAGACCCGTTTGGTTCCCATCAGTCCAGAGCCTCCCATTTCTCTTTAGTTCTCTGAGTCTTGGGTTAACCCACCTTTGCTGCTTGTGAAGAACAAACTCCCCAGTGGACTCCTCAGCCATCTGGACCCAGAGCAAGGCTGCAGTAGCTGGGATGAGGATCAGCCCAAGCAAGCCTCCAGCTGAGGCCAGAATTCACAGCAGTCCTCAATGCTTGCCACTATGCCAGATGGTTCCCATGCAACCAGAAGGGAATGCCCTTGGGAGACCGAAGGACACCCCAATGCTGATAGAGATGGAGCGGCTCAGAGGCAGCCCTAAAGATCATGCTGTAGGGACACGCCCACCCAGCTGGCTTCCCTGCCCCTCCCACCAAGTGCAGCACACATATGCATGTGAAGACAGGCATGCCTGCACACACACACACACACACACACACACACACACATGCTGGCACACCAGCCCAGCAACTGGAAGAGGACAGCAGGCCCGGGTCCCAGTGAAGTCTGAGTGACAAGTGGAGGAAGAAGAGAGATGAAGACACCACAATGCAGGGCTGAGAGCCCTGAACACCCACAGTTCTCTGCTCCCTGGCATAACTTGGGCGAGCCGGCACTTGCCTTCACTCCAAACCTAAGATGAGCCTGAACCCCCAGCACACCCGCACACCCTGTGCCCGGGACCAGCAGGGGCATCCCATGCCAAACATACTCACCCCACATGTCACTAGTCTCTCCCTTCCAGGTGAGGACACTGAGCACTGGCATTGATTGGGAAGGGGACTTCCAACCTGGTGATGGGGCCAGGAAGTCTGCCAATTGAGTCCCACCAACACCAACCAGGACAGGACACAACACAGGAGACAAACTCACTCTCACCCACACACTCTCCCAAGCAGCTGGGAGACCCAGAGTGGGTCAGAAACAAAACCGGCGCAGGCATAGCAGAGACAGAGGCAAACTGCATCCTAGTACGTTTATTGGAGCCTTGGCTGAGCATGAACACGGATCAGGACCCCCTTCCACAGCCCGGTCAGCCGACAGGCCAAGAACCCAGGGATCGGTCTGTTTTCCCTCTATAGACAACATTATTAAAAAAAATAAACTTTACAATAATACTTTTTTTTTTCGCTCATCTGTTGGGTATTACTTTGATAATTTTGTTTCTTAAAAAAAGGAAAGAAAGGGGAAAGCACATGATATATGTATATGGGTGTGTATATACATATATGTTGAGGAGCCTTGTTATGTACATAAGGGGTGTACATCTCCAAAATGAGGGTGCATCGGTGAAAGAGGGGCCAGGGAAGAAGAAGAAGAGATATCCGAGACGGGAGCCTGGTGCAGGTCTCGGCTGTCCCCCTCAGCAGCCCCTCCCCACAATGAGACACCCCCATATGGGCCCACGAGAAACTCAAAGAGCCCACAAGGTACCTTTTCTCTTTGATTTCAAAATTCTTGCCCTAAGGGAAGAGGCAGCATCATCTGGAGCTGGTACGCAAGCTGCGTTCCCTTCCCCACAGGGCATCTCCCAGTTTGGCTGATCTTCCAACACCCCCCTTCCAACTGGCCCAGAGCCCACCCGTGGTAGTCAGGGGGTCAGCACCGCGCTCTCCACAGTCAGATGCAGACCCGCCTGGGGCAGAGAGGAAGGACAGCAGGAACTCCATCCTCCAAGCCGAGCGACAGACACGGAAGGCAGTGGCCTCCTGCTTCCTCGGCCTTGTTCTCTGCCCTCCCCCTGCCAGGGGCCCAGGAAGGGGTGGGCAGCAGCCCAGGGCAGCAGTGTGGCCATCCTGCCCCAGCCTACTGCAGGCGAAGCCCCCAGCCCCCGGAGCTGCAGGGGTCTCATTCAGGTCTCTTGTCAGTGGGGTCCAGAGAGAAAAACACCAGGAGAAACTGAAGGGTGTTTCTAGAGCCTTCTGCCCTCCTCCTCAGCAAGCAGCAGCCCTGGCCAGACCTCACGGCCAGCTCTCAGGTGGACCTGCCTGCTATTCGGTTTGGTTTAGAAAAAAACTTCTCCAGAGAAGAAAGCTGGGAGGAGACAGTTTCAGAGACAAGGTGGAGGGAAACTTTTTTTTTTTTTGCAAGGTGTGTGTCAGTGTATGTTTCCATAATGTCCGGAGTTTCCATTTCTTGTCTGAGGAGCTTCCAGAAACCTCCGACACAGGTCCCAGAGCCTACGAGGCGAGCTTCAGCATAAGGAGGGCCACAGTGGTCAAGGCAGCCGATGGGCGGACCCTGCAGGGGCCTGAGTTCGGTCTGATCACCTTGTTGCTCCCTGGGATGATGTTCGTTGTGAGCTGCGGCCCAGCCGAGGGAGGCAGAAACAAAAGGCAAAACAACACATGTCAGCAGGGCTGCAGCCAGGCCTAGAGAAGGGCCCGAGGGACACTCCAACCAGACGGCAGAGCCAGGCCTCCCCGGAACTGGGCAAATCACAGCCTTCCCAGCCTTCCTCCGAGCTAGCTCTGCCAGGAAGAGGCACATGGAGCCGAGAAACACAGGACAAGGCAGAGCCCAGCCTTAAGTGTGTGGGTTCTGCCCCTGCACATCCTGCTCTCGGCTCCTGCAGAAGCTCCCTCCCCCGTCTCCCCCCATTTCCTCTCACCTACATTAGGCCCATTCAGCACATGGCCAATAGGCCTGGTCCCAGGAAGTTCCTTTTGGAAACCTATTGACCTTTTCTGCCCCCTCCCTTCTGGATCCCAGAGCCAGGACATGACAAACGCCACATTTGCCACCGAGCCAGGGCAGGGGGGCTCTGCTCAGAGGAGCCCCTTCTGTCTTGTGCTTCCACCTTTCCAGCAGAGTGGGTGGAGCACCCACCCACACCCCAACTCCGGTCTGGTCCCCTCCAATACCCAATCCTGGGCCTCACTCACCTCTGTGAAGCACAAGCTAAACTCTTTGGAGTTATTGGCCTTCAGCTCCTGCTCCTGTGGGGGGTGGGGGGAGAAGGAAGAACTCAGGAGGGTCAACAAGACTCTGTCCACAGCTGGGATGAGCACAGACACCCCTGTCACATGACCTAACTCTCTGTACCCTGGCACTAGCTCCATTGCACAGAGTACAAGGATGCCTGCCCCCAGCAGCACTCTAGACTCTGTGTCTCCTGGGAGCCGCTGATGGTGCCAACTCTCCAACTACTGCACAACCGTCAGGAAGCAGCTACACATCTGTGTCCAGGCGCAGGACTGCTCTTAGCAGGGTGGGGACTGCCTGTGTTTCCTTGCACTGAGCAGGGTCCAGCCCAGAAAATGCCTTTCTAGGTGCATGCATGCATGAATGCGTAAGTCGGTTAATGAATGCATGCATGCCACAGAACAGAAATGGCACCAGTGCCAGCTTCCACAAGAGGAGGAGCCCTCTGGAGGGACATGTTGGCCAGAGAGGTGTTGCTTTTCCACCCCAAACACGAAGGCTAACTTGGTGATGACTCGGGATGACCACTGGGATGCAGATGCAGAAGCAGAGGCAGATGGAAAAAGCAGTCCTTTGTGTGCAACACCAGAACAGTGATCCATGACAACCAGCTGAAGGACCTGGTGTTTCTCTCTGGTCTCAAGTGGCTCATTTCCTAACACACTTGTTGGAAAGATCTGGCCACCAGATGCCCTGGGAAGCCCAAGAAATTCAGTCTGAATCACTGCTCTTGGCCGGGAGTATCCACAATCCCTTGGCCTTCACAGGCAATCTACCACCCAGGGCATCTGGTCAGCTAAAAGAGGCCCCGGCTGTCACACTGCAGCCCCAGCCAGGAGCAGAGCAACGGAGCCGGAGTGTGATAAGAAGGGGACAGGAAGTGCCTGATCAGGGATCCAGGAAGCAGGATCCAGCCCTGATATGCCTCCCACCCCATCCCCAAACAAGGACACATGTAGCTCCAGCTAGAATCTTGGGGGTCCCTGCCTGCCCCTCCTCAGTAGCTGTGCTGTCACCACTGTCTTCTGCCTGACTGCCCCTCAGTCACCTCCTCAAGCAATTCCTGAGACACAATTCCTGACCCTCCTGAGACATGCATCCTGTTCCTTCGCTCCTCTGCTCCTGTGCTCCAGGACACTCCAGGATCTGTGACTTCTTCCTGCTCCCCCCTCCCCCCTACAAGCACTCACTAAATCTGGAGCCTACCAAGAGTCTCAAGTGACAACTGTGATTGCAATTTCCTCACAGATTGGCTGCTTTCCTCACAAGTTCAGGTCACGCACAGAACTACTATTTACTTGAGTATCAGTAAGGTTTCAGCAAACAACCGAAGACACCCTCTCAGCCTGGCCATATGCAGAGCCTCCTGTGATGGGGCATTGGTCACATTTGCATGCCCTGGGTGATATGGACGCATCCAGGTCAACCATGCAGAGAGGAGCCCACAAAGCCGGTATCAGGCCTCAGAGAGGGAGTGGGACTAGGGGCCTATTCTCAAGAGGAGAAGGGGCACAGGACCCTCAGTGCCCTGTGTCAAAGGCAAGGATCCAAGATAAGGGGACAGTGACAGGACAGCACAGGGACACAGCAAGGCTGCACATGGAGCCCATAGTCATGGGTTCATGGCATGGAGTCCTCAGTCATAGAGTCCATATTATGGAGCCCACAAACATGGAATCCTCAGTCACAGAGCCCAGGGTCACAGAGCCCACAGTCACAGAGTCCTCAGTCATGGAGCCCACAGTCATGGAGTCCATAGTCATGAAGCCCATAGTCATGGATCTCACAGTCAGAGAGTCCTCAGTTACAAAGTCCACAGTCACGAAGACCTCAGTCATGGAGTTCTCAGTCACAGAATCCTCAGTCAGAGTCCTCATTCATAGAGTCCTCAGTCATGGAGACCTCACTCACAAAGTCCTCAGTCACAGAGTCCACAGTCATGAATCCCATAGTCATGGAGCTCACAGTCACAGAGACCTCAGTCACAGAGTCCTCAGTCACAGAGTCCATAATCATGGAGCCCACAGTAGTCACAGAGACCTAAGTCAGAGTCACAGTTATGAAACCCACATTCTTGGAGCCCTCAGTCATGGAATCCTCATTCATGGAATGCACAGTCAGGGAGCTGAAGTTTTGGAGCCCACAGTCATGGAACCCACAGTCATGGAGTCCACAGTCATGTGGCCCACAATAATGGAGTTCTCGGTCATGAAGCCTTTAGTCATGGAGTCCTTAGTCACGGAGTTCATAGTCATTAGACACAGAGCCCACAGTCAGAGAGTGTCCACAGACCCACTCACCCAAGCTCTCTTTGTCACCTGGAAGTTCTAAGGAAAGTAGGGGGCCATAGAGAAGCTACAGGTGAACCCCAGGATAAGCAAATGCAAGAGCCGACCATTCACCACAGCCCAGAAAGTGAGGCACTGAGAGAATTTCTTTGTAAGCTCCAGAAAGCACAGGGAAGGCTACAGGACACCCCCCAGCACATGCTGGCACCCCTCCCCAGTCCTGACACACAGATTGGTACATGGGGGCCCACCCACTGACCTCCTGCAAATGGCATTTGGAAGTCATAAGTGGAGAAAAGTCCTGCCACCCAATGCCAAGCCCCAACCTCCCTGACAAAGAACTCCACCTACCTGGTCACCCCAGCTCCAAAAAGAGGGAGTCCCAAGTCTACAACCACCTCCATGTGAACTACCCTCAGTTACCTCCTCAACAGGCAGGTAAATCAGGGGGCTATACACCTGACCTCCCAATCTGACAAAACACCCCACAAGGCTACCTTTAGTGTCCCTCTCCCACTGGGCACTGCCAGGCCCTGGGCTGGTGCAGACCTTCTCCTCCTGGCACCCTGAATGCAGACTGAGCCTACTTTCTTAGCTTTACTAAAGTTGTGATTAACCCTCAAAAGTATATAAGTCACGCACGTGATGAACCAAATACACAAGCAATCAACAGATCCATTACTTCACACCTTCACCTCTTCCTTTGGGGGTGAGAACACCCAAGACCTGCCCTTTTAGCAAATCTCAGGTACACAATATTGTCACCTACAGTCACAACTGCCCGCCAGCTCTCCCCAGCTTACTCATCTCCTGTGAGAGCCCAGTGAACACCCACTGCTGCTCCTCTGGGTCTGCTTTCCCTCCCACCTTCCCCACAGCTGTGTCCCTGCAAGCTGTCCTTCAGTCCAGTCTTCCTGTCATTTCCATTCCAGACGCCTCTAAAACAGCACCCATGAGCCTACTGATCCTTCCTCCTGTGCATCTGCTGTTGGTCTACATTGGGTCTGCTTTGTCCTGGGAGTGTGTGACAAAAAAAAACAGACCATGTGTTCTAACTAGAACCAATCTTCTAAGCAAAAGTTACTATATAGCTAGTAAGGGAGTAACAAACAGTCAAAGGGCAACGGACCTGAAGAGTTGATCCAAAGAACAGCATTGACATGATGGTGGGAGGGTGGAAGGGAGGGGTCTTTGGGACACTGATGGAGAGAAACAACCCAGTGATGGGTATGGTGTTGAAGCAATATATGCATTCTATCATTAATAGAATTATAAAGCATGATACCCCAATTAAAAATGCAGGGTAAGTTACTGCAGCAACTACTCAGAAGACTTGAGGGGAGCTTAGCAGGAAGGCTATGTGAAGAGCCCTACGATATGCCTCCCTGCACCACAAGAGCCCTTCATGGCTCAGACTGTCAGATGCTTAATGAATTGCCTGACTTTCCATAAGACCACAACGACCACAAACATACAGTCTACTGTCAGCCTCATTCACTTATGTCTTCCTAGCATCTCACAGAAGACTTGGGACACATTAGATTCATGCATGCATGCATGCATGGATGGATGGATGGATGGATGGATGGATGGATGGATGGATGGGTAGATAGATGGATGGATGAATTGTGGATGGATGGGTAGGCAGGTGGGTAGATGGAGGTGAGGAGTTAGTAGGTTGGTGGATGGATGAGGGATAAGGAGTTGGTGGACTAGTGGATGGGTGGGTGAGTAAATGGAAAGGGAGATGGATCAATGGGTACCTAGATAGGTTGATGTGTAGATGGATCAACAAATGGGGGATGGGGAGATGGATGGATGGAGATGTGGGTGGGTGGACAGGAAGGTGAATGGGTGGGTAGACTCATGGGAGATTAGGAGATGGGGTAATGGATGGATAGATTGATAGACAAGCAGGTGGATGGATGGTTGGTCAAAAAATGAATATCCCAGATTTTAGAGTCAGGTAGAGATCTGAAATTTCACTATACTATTAACCAGCTGTGGGCATGGGGTGCAGCCCTCTGAGTAGGTGTGCAGAATAAGCTGTACAGCTCAGTACATGAGACCAGCTGACAGTGCACACTAGCCAGTAGGAGGTTACAATTCCATCCCTGGTATTCTCCTGGTACCAAATCCCAGCCTGTGACAGAGCAGAGACTTATAGGCCCACAGTGCCAGTCTCCTAATTTTCCACACTCACCCCTGACATTCCTGGGCTTTCCCAGGCCTGATCTCCTCACCTGGACAGACGTGCAGGTGGTGATAACACTGGTCCCCAGGCTGGTGCTGTCACTGAGGTCATCTGGCAGAGAAGGCGTCTTCTCCAGCCGAGGGGCCTGAGTGGCCTGGAAGGAGGGGTTTTTAGGGGACAGGTTCACATCGGTGCCGTTGCCAAAGGCCTGGATGGCATTCCCTGTGGGGAGTGGAGAGCAGAGGGACAAAGAAATCAGGGGCCTTCACTGGCACATCTGTCCCTCACCATCCCTGCAACTAGCCAGAAGCACAGGAGGGTGGGTGGCATGTCCAAGATCAATTAGGCTGAAGCTCCCCCTTAGACACCCATGTGGGTGGGGCAGCAGCACCCTCACTGTGACCTCGTCCTGTCCTTGTCCTCTCTCTGGCACTCCTGTTGTGTCCCATGATGGGTTCCTCTGGCCCAGATGCTTCCAGCTCCCTCCACTGGCATCCCAGGACCCCAGACTCAGCCTCCCTCCCTCTCATAGTGCTTGGGGCAGCTACACCCACACCCACACAGCCCAAACGATTCCCCAAAGACTGACTAATTGGACTTCCTGGATGCAATCTACCTCCAAGAACTCCCCATCTAACCAGGTGCCTAAGCAGTTTCCAGCATGGCCCAATCCCAGCCACCACGTCTGTTTCTGACCCAAGCCCATCGCCAACATGGCCATCCCCTGGATTCTGGTCCTGAAGTACCACTGACCACCCAAGCTTCCCAGCAGGACTCCCAGACTCCCTGCAGGTCACAAGCCGAGCCCACAGCCCCCAGCTCACTCCCCATCTCTCCTCCCACACCCCCTGCCCTATGGGGGTCACATCTTCCTCCTGAGCACCAACCCGCCCTTCCTGCAGACTCTGTATTGGGTCTGTGGTCAAAGTCAGATCCTGCCATGCAAGAGAATGACTCTTCTGAAAGGCAGCCCCGCCCACAGCACCATCGCTAACCACCTGTGGCTTGTGCAGGGCCAATGGATTCAGGGCAGGGAGGATCCTCTATCTATCTTGGGAGGACCCTGCTCTGCAGCAAGGCAAGGGGTCTGCACCACCCTAGAGTCACCTCTCCCCGATGGAAGAGAGTTCATCGGCCCAATGCCTGATGCCCACCTGTGAGAAGCCTCCAAGGGCTCCGTAAGCTGGTGGTCATCCCACCTGCTCTCCTGAGGAGCCCTGAGCACACCCCCTAACACTGCTCATGCTGGGAGCAGGGGTATGCCTCCATCAGAGCATAAACTCCTCCTCAGGGCCCCATTGTGTCTAAACCCCTGTGTGGGGTGAGGGCACAGAGGGGGGAGGACAGGGAAGGAAGGAGGGCCAGCTCCAGCAAGGGGACCGAGGCAACTGCAGGCTCTGCGGGGCACTCACGGAGGCACGGGTTCTCGGTGAAGTCACTGAGGAATTTCTCGCACTCCGCCTCCATGTTCCCGCTCCCGCGACAGTTGCACCAGGGGGACACCACGATGCCAGTGGGGCTGGAGTCCACGTAGTTGGGTGTCACGTCAAACCCTGGGCCAGAGAATGGGGAGCAAGAGAGAAAAAGCAATAAGAAAAGATCCAGGACCTCAGAGGATTGACTTGGATCTCCCTTCCCTTTGGGCCCACAAAAACACAGAGACACACACCCCAACTCACGATCTAAACCACATCGTATCTCAACAGCCACGGGGGCCAGCAGGGTGGGGATCTAGACATGGAGTCGACAATCCGGGGCCCCTCCCTGGTCCCCTGCCCTCACTCTCGTGCACACAGCAGCAATCTAGCACTGTGTCCCAGCACAGTGTGTCCCTGAGAACCTGTACAAAGTCCCCAACACCTCATGCAACCTCAGTCTCCGCTGTGTGATCGATACAGTGATCAGAACACCTCCCCAGGTAGAAGGGGATTTATGTCAGAGTTAATATTTCATAGACAAAACGATCAATGATACTAGTAGCACTGTAGCACTGTCCTCCTGTTGTTCATTGATTTGCTCAAATGGGCACCAGTAACATCTCCATTGTGAGACTTGTTGTTACTGTTTTTGGCATATTGAATACGCCACAGGGAGCTTGCCAGGCTCTATCCGTGTGGGCAAGATACTCTCGGTAGCTTGCCGGGGCTCCCCGAGAGGGACGAAGGAATCGAACCTGGGTCAGCCACGTGCAAGGCAAACGCTTTAACCGCTGTGCTATGGCTCTCGCCCATGATGCTAGTAATAAAAAAATAACTGCACATATCAAATAACGGTCACTAAGTCATGGAAACTGCTTGGGCAGCCCCTGAAATGTGGGAACTGGGCAATCCAATCATCGATGTGACCACCTTGTTTCTAGAGTCCTGCGGCCCACTGGCCTGTCCTCTGGTTCCCCACAGCAGCTCAGCAGCACAGAGACCGCTGTGTCCCGCTGTCCCCACTGCCCCGGCTTTGGGCCTGTCCACTGTCCACAGCTGGACTTCGGGGGTGGGGGGCGGCATGCAGGAGGCAGCTTACCGATCATGCCAGCATAGGAGCCCAGACACGCCTGGTAATTGTCCGCAGGGCAGCTGGTGAGTGTCTGGTAGGAGGCGCGACAATTGGCATGGAAGTCAGCCAGCCGGGACCTGAGTCAGGAGGAGACCCGTGAGGAGAGTTTAGTCCATGACTTCTCCAGTGTGAGGGGTCCCTGCCTCACGGCCCCAGAAAGATGTGGAGAAACCAAGCCCCGGGGCTTTCAGGTTGTTCCTTGAGGGCAGACTTGGCTTTGTCAGTCAGACCCGGGGAAAGTTGGGCTCTGCCTTCTGCCCAACAGCCCCAGGGTGACTCTGCCCACATCTGTCCTTCAACACATTGGTCTTTCTATCTGCAAAACAGGGTCCAGATTCCTGCCTGAGACTCCCCTGGGGCTCACAGGAGCCAGTCCCCAGGGCAGCAGAACTGAGAGTGGGATGGGAGGGCACATGTCCTGTGGGCATTGCTGACCAGGCTTGGTGCCTTGGACTGGACCGAAACCTCCGCAGCCAGCCCTCAGATGGACTGAGGTGGAGCACCACTGCTGTCATCATGCCTCTGCGGACATAGAGACGCTGCTGCCACCTCCACTCACTTGGTCCAGAAGACTGGTGCTGTCAAACTAACTCTGGCCCAGTGCCAGCCCCTGAGGTGGCGAGATACAGGGAGCCTAGGGCACCTGAGTGTGACCTGCACAGAACCTGCACAGAACATCCCCTCCTGCCCAGCTCAGGGACTCACTTCCCTCATGCCCGCCTCACCCTGGACCCTTGGCTATGAGAAACTCAGATTGGTCACTTTACTTCAGCCTCATAGTCCCTGCAAGCAGAGAAAGAAAATGTCCAGTGGCAGAGAGCAACCTCAGGCCTTCAATGCCCCTGTGCCCAGTGGGAACTCTTCAGGGAAACCCTGGACAAGGTCAACACCCTGGTCACTAGCCCCCACCCACAGTCTGTCCATACCACGACACTGGGCCAGGAGCCGTGCCAAATTCTGATCCCCACTTTCTGTCACTCTGAGAAGGAGCAGGTAGAGAAAGACCAGAGGGTCAGGCAGGACCACCTGGGCAGGAGGACCTCAGCTCAGGTGGCTGCATCCCACATGGGCCACCTCCCAGCTCACTCCAGCTCCAGGGCATGGGGTTTTGCGGAGGGAAACAGCCCTCAGGGCGCCCCCCTTCAGCTATCTTCAATTCTCTGGGCACTTGCTCCCGGAAGGACTACTAAGGGCTCCTTGTTGCATGCGTCATGGGTGCTTTCGGGGGTCCTATGGGTGGAACATGGAGAAGGGGGCTTGCGCAAGAGCACAGAGCGCCTGGCGGGGCATTAACATGCCACAGTGGTGAATCAGGCGGTTCCAGTTTGCCTCATTAGGAACCCGATCTGTAAATATCCCCCCCACCCCACGTGGGCCTATGGTTTCTCAGCCCATCTCATGAGAACTGCGCTCTGAGGACAGGCTCCCCCGCCGGGCAGAAGCAGCTGCTCCCTCGTCTCAGGAAGGACCAAGAACTTGTCAAGGTCACCAAGCGACTGAGCAGCGGGCCAAGAGCTCCGGTCACAGACAGGCACCCTTCAAGCTGGTCCCTTTGCCTGTGCAAAGCTCTTGAAGGGTCCCTATCTCAGACAGACCCTACGGCTCTCACACTTCCCGGACACCCTCTGCTCCTCAGCCCCTACCCCAGGCAGGGAGGAAGCGCATGTCCAGCCCACCTCTGTCCTGCAGAGTGACCCTTGGTCTCAAGGGCAAAACCAACCTGCCCCCCTCCACAATCCTGCAAATGAGAAAAAGGGCAGCAGAAGAGAGGCATGAGAGGCAATGCAGAGAGCAGCGGGGACAGGGGCCAACAACACAAAATCTCAGCACCTACCTATTCGGGATGGGTTGTGTCCCAAAAAAGAAAAGCTGAGGTCCTGACCCAGGTACTGGGAAGGACTCTTCTTTTTTATTTTAATGAATGACCGTGAGGTACAATTACAGACGTACAAACTTTTGTGATTACATTTCAGTCATACAATGATCGAGCACCCATCCCTTCACCAGTGCCCATTCTCCACCACCAATGTTCCCAGTATCCCTCCCCAACTCCCCCAAACCCCCACCCCACCCCCCGCCTCTATGGCAGATGCATTCCCTTTTACTCACTCTCTCTCTCTCCTTTTGGATGTTGTGGTTTGCAATACAGGTACTAAGTGGCCATCATGTTTGGTCTATAGTCTACTTTCAGCACACAACTCCCATCCTGAGTGAGCCCTCCAAGCATCATTTACTTGGTGGTCCCTTCTCTATCTCGGCTGCCTTTCCCCTGATCGACATGGAGAGTATCATGCTAAGTGAATTGAGTCAAAGAGAGAGGAACAGACATAGAATGACTGCACTCATTTGTGGAATATAAAGTAACACAATGGGAGACTAACACCCAAGGATAATAGAGATAGGGCCAGGAGAATCACTCCATGACTTGGAAGTCGGCCGTGAAGGACTCTTATTGGGAAATAAGCTCCTTACAAATATGGCGGAGGGGACTGTGGAATGGGGGAGGTCCTCAGGACAAGGACAAGTCCTCCTGAGAAATGCTGAGGCCAGGAGAACACAAAGGCAGAGGCTGGAGGGGCATGAACACAGTCTAGGACATGGAGGTCTGCAGGGAACCTGGGTAGTGCAGGGCACGGCTGAGAGCAATTCCCCCTCCAAGCCTTCAGGGTGCGGCCCTGCTGACTCCTGCCTCAGGAATGCGAGTGACTCTGTGTCTGTCGGAAGCAGCCCAGTCTAAGAAGTTACCCCAAGGGCTGGAGTGATAGTATACAGTGGGTAGAGCATTTGCCTTGCACATGGCCGACCCGGGTTTGATCCCCAGCATCCCATATGGTCCCCCGAGCACCGCCAGGAGTAATTCCTGAGTGCATGAGCCAGGAGTAACCCCTGTGCATCGCCAGGTGTGACCCAAATAGCACTGTAGCACTGTCCTCCCGTTGTTCATGGATTTGCTCGAGCAGGCACCAGTAATGTCTCCATTGTGAGACTTGTTGTTACCGTTTTTGGCATATCGAATACGCCATGGGGAGCTTGCCAGGCTCTGCCATGCGGGAGCGATATTCTCGGTAGCTTGCCGGACTCTCCGAGAGGGACGGAGGAATGGAACCTGGGTTGGTCACATGCAAGGCAAACGCCCTACCACTGTGCTATTGCTCCAGCCTAAATAGCAAGAAAACAGCAAATAGCAATTTTACCAAATAGCAAGAAAATAAATTTTTTTAAAAAAAAGGAGCTGCCCTGACCACTGTGGTAAAGATACAGTATCCCTCTGAGACAAGGCTGCACTCTGACCAGCTGTGTTCCTGCAGAAGAGGCCGTGGGGACAGAAGGAGCCATGGGGACAGGGTTGGGCAATGGGGAGGGTTATAGGCACAGAGAAGTCAAGACCAAGCTCTGGCAGAGTGGGGCAGGGACACTGGCCAGAGCCTGTGCCTCCAGCAAGCGCCCAGGACAGGGTCCACCCCAGTGCCAGCTGGTTATATGGAAGGCTGGCCGCCTCCTGCCTCCCCAAGCCCACCGCAGCCCTTCAGCAAGCAGCCCTCTTTGGACCAGGCCTGCCTGGGCTGTTCCCGGCTGCACTGGGTCTGGACCAGTCACACTTAAGCACAGATGGACCAACACTGCCCTGTCTGCTCCAGCTGCAAACCAGCTAGAACAGGAGACTCTGCTCTGTCGCCACTCCCATCCTCCAGCCCCGACAGGCAGGCCGAAAGAGGGGGCGTGCCCTGCGTGCCTCTCTGCTACACCCAGGGCCCCCATGTGACCGACAGACTGACATGCATGCCAGGGACATGCATGTCAACACAACAGCAGGAAGACAAGGGCTTGGCAGGATGGCGCAAAGGGCTGAAGCCTTTGCAGGAAGGAGCCCCAGGGAGCACCTCTGTGTTGTGATGGGACAACATCCATTTGCCTGGTCAAGGCAAACCTGGGTCCCACACGGCTCTGTGAGTTCAGAGGGTCCCTTTCCTCAACCGCAGGTGGTCAATGGCTACTGCAGATACCCCATGTCACTCTCATGTCACATCGAGGACACTGAAGGAAGCACACTGACTTCCTTTGCCAGGCTCTGGAGGACCCACCGGGCAGGGCTGCTGGGACCCTGAGCCTGAGCCTCCTGCCAGAAGGCACAACGGTTCCACTCAGAGCAAGGGAGGAGGAAGCAGGTTGCAAATGTTCCATCTCTCCCTTCCCAGCTCCCAGTGGCCGTGGCACGAGTGTGACATAGGGGGCCCTGCATGAGGGGCCTCATCCGAGGGCCTCTGACCACTCAGTTTCTCTCCACCCCTCAGGACATGCCCTCCACAATAATGTCTGTTTTCTCCAGTTGTGTCATGCTCCACCCCAACTCCGAGCCAAGCCTGCACACGAAGGCCCAGCCCAGCCTAAGAAGCACTCCACAGCGCCCTGCCCATCAGGCCAGCTTCTGGCTGGGGCCACTTTCCTCTGAAGCCACTGGGAGGTCAATGGTCTCCCAGAGCTATTCTGGCAGCCAGGAACAAACCTTTCCTCACAGAGCCCCAGGAAGAGACTGTCTGAGAAGAATGACAGATGAAAGGGGAGGTAAGTTATAGAACAGACAATGGGCAAGACAGGGAGCCACGGGGCTGGAGAGACAGTACAGTGTGAAGGGCACTCTCCTTGCATGTAAATGACCTGTCTTTCACCCCTGTTCCTGTGGTCCCCTGAGCAGTGCCAGGAGTGATCCCTGAGTACAGAGCCGGAAGTAAGCTCTGAGCAGCGTCGGTTGTGGCCCAGATACAGAATAATAGAACCAATATGAAGAACAGATGAACACCCGCCAAGTTAATCTCAGCAGCACCCAGTGAAGACTGCCAAACGCGCTCAGGGGAGCAGGTGGGTCTGCCTGAATCGCAGACTCGCTCTGGGCTTGTTTAAGTGGCAGCTGTAGCCTATTCAATCACAGGCGAGCTGGAGGGTGGGGGACAGAGGGAGAAACTGGCCCCCCACTAAATACTAGATCCAGTTGGTCTGAATTCCTGACATACCATGATGGTTTCTAACGCAAGTATGCCCTGTGTAGTTTCTGAGATCTACGTATAAAAACGCATTCTCA